AGAGCAGTCAATACCCTTAACAACTGAACCATTTCTCCAGCCCCTTGTTTTGTTTTTCAAGACAGGATTTCTCAGTGTAACAGCCCTGGCTGCCCTGGAACTTGTTTTGTAGACCAGACTGACCTCAAACAGAGATCCGATTGCCTTCTGCTGAGTGCTGGGATTAAAATCATGTGCCACCACCCCACCCAGCATCTTTTAATAGGGTGCTTTTTTTGTTGTTGGTTTTTTTTTTTTTGTTTGTTTGTTTTTTTTGTTTTTTTTTTTTGTGAATGGTAGGAAAATTAAAGTGACTAAAGGTCAACATAATAAATGAATCTATATGATGTTTACACTTACTTGTTTAATAAAGTAACACCATACTTTGGAGTGTTTTGAACTCTTAAAATAAATGTGAACATTGAGTCTCAGTGTTGGAAAAACTAATTTAGAAACTGCTTGCAATGATTTCTTTTAATATATTTTATTTAATTTGAGACAGTCTCAACTGTCACCCTAGCTTGCTTGGTACTCACTATGTAGACTAGGCTGGCCTTGGACTCTCAGAGTTTGATCTACCTTTACTTTTCTAGTGCTGGGATTAAAGGCATGTCCACTTCTTATTTTAATGTGTGTATTTTGCTTGTATGTATACCTGATGCCCAGAGAAGTCAGAAAAGGGCATTGGACCAATCCCCTGAAATTGGAGTTTTACGTGGCTACTGTGTGAGTGTTAGAAACAGAACCCAGATCCTCTGCCAAAAAAAAATTGCTCTTAACCATAGAGGCACCTTTTCAGCACCACCACCCACCTTTGTTATTGTTATTTGGCTTTTGTTTTGTTTGTTTTTGAGACAAAGGGTCATATAACACAGACTGGCCTTGAACTCCTAATCTTACTGCTATCTCATGAGATTTCTTCATGGAGATCTAAATGTATGTGAAACATTGCAAAGTATTTATTTGCTTGTGTTTATCTTGTTTTTTTGAGACAGGGTAACTGTAACCCTGGCTGTCTTGAAACTCATAACAACCTGCCTGCATGCCTCCTGGGTGCTGAGGTCAAAGGCATAAGATACAATGGACTTTAGGTGTTTGAAAAAAAAAAAAAAAAAAAAAGCTAGTAGACATTTTCTGAGTTAATTCAAAACTTGAATTAAGTCATATAGTGTGTAGTATTTTAGTAGGTAAAAACTGAAGTTTTCTGCTATGTTGTAAGGTGCCATGCTGACTACTAATTGGAGAGTTCTTTTTTCGAGCTATAATAAAAGGCCTGTTATATTCTGCTTAATGTTTTCATACTATAGACCTTTTACTTCCAGCCCAGTTTTTCCCCATTGTGTTAGTACATATCAGCTCTACCCAAGTTCGTTAGGATTACAGTTATCTGAAATTTCTTTTCATCTGCCATAATTCTAATGGAGATCATTAAAATTAAAACACGGATGAAGATGTTACCTTCTTTGGCTATACGTGGGAAAATCAACAGTAATGAGAGCTAGCATCTATATCTTGTAATCACCAAAGAATGAACAAAGCATTTTTCTGTTTACTCTCTAGACTGCTCTCGCAAAACACTGTCCACTCATATAATGAGTTATTAGGAAGGTGTGTGTATGTGTGTGTGTGTCTTGCTTATGTGCTGGCCTTGAACACTCATCCTCTTACTTCACTCTTAACCAGTGCTGGAAACCCTGGAAAGCACATAGCTCTAAAGTCATTTGTGTATATAATAGATTGGTCATATTCAACAGTCTTTAATAAGGAGCTGGGGCTATAGCTCAGTTGATTACTTGCCTGGCATATATGAAGCCCTAGATTCAATTCCTAGCACCCTGGAGTAATAGCATTTGGGGAGGTACAGACAGGAGGATCAAGAATTGAGAGTCATCCTGAGTTACAATATACAAAAAATAAGTTTGAGGTCAACCTAGAATGCAGAAGACTTTGTCTCAAAAAAAAGTATATATTTAGTAAAATATTTGCAGTCTGTCAGGTGATATCCTTAAGAAAACTCCCTAGCATTCTGAGGGCGAGGCTTCTACTCTAATCTCATAGTTTTGCTTTACACAGTTCAGAACCATTGGAGTGCTCAGTGTTCAGGGGAAGTAGGAGAGAAGCAGGGCATAGGAAACTGGCATGTCCATGTCCTGCCAAAAGCAGTGTTCTGTTTTTTCTAGTAACATACATATTCTATGATCATCATTTCTTCCTTTAATGCTTTCTTTTTCTTTTCATGGAATATAACCAAACCATTATTTTACTTGTTTACTGATTTTGTGTATTTCTGTTTCTTCTACTCTGTTAGCTCCATAAAGGACTGGGTTTTTCTGTTTCACTTGCTGCATTTTCTGAAACAGTGCCTGGCATGTAATAGACAATAAGTATTTGCTGAATGACAATTAATTCACTTCACTGACACGCTCATCTGTGATAGGTCTTCTGAATCATCTGAAATCCAGGTCTATTAAACAAGTAGGCTTGACTCTCTTTGTAGGGTGTGGTCAGTTTTGTTTGCCTCAAGTTCTATTCCTATTAGGAAAGCTTCAGAATTTTAATTCACTTTGCTAGGCTTTATTTATCTTACACTCTTTTCATGCTGATTATCACAGCAATGTAGTGATTGATGGGTTGATGGGTGTAAGCCGTGTTTGCTACATTTATAGCCTCTTTTTTTTTTTCTGTTTTATAACCAGACTTACCCTCCTTGTTTTTTTTTTGTTTTTTTTTTTTTTTTCCATCTATGAGGTTTTTCCCATGACCTAAAGTACAGCTTTGCTATTCTAAAGCTCAGAACCTGTGACATAAAATGTTAGTAATGTGCCCAAGTAAAGCAACTGGTTTTTTTGTTTGTTTGTTTTGTTTTTGTTTTTTTTAAAGGCAGGGTCTCTACACAGCCCTGGCTGTCCTGGAATTCACTATGTGGACCCCTGACTCACAGAAATACTCCCACCTTTGGTGCTCTCACCTCCCATACCCACCTAGTACTGGGGCTGAGGGCATGTACCACCACTCCCAGATAATAAAACAACTCTTTAGATAGCATTTGGAAACATCCTGTAATAGTGGGGGTTTGTTTACCTTACTAAAATACTTAATTCTGACTTTAGTTTTTAATAAATCTGCATGATGACTTAAATTTCCTTTTATTTGATATAATTAGAAGAGAACCTAAGCTACATACAGAGACAACCCCAAAGGAATTTTTCTTTCATATATTCCCAATTACTCATACATGCTCAAGACATTGCTATCCTGAGCCTACTTAGGCCTCATCTGATCAAGTTGGGTCTTTGATTTATTTATCTAGGAATATCTTAAGGTCTGCTTTGTTCCAGCTCCAGAGATATAGCAGTGTGTGAAAAAGACAGTGCCTTCTCTCATATATGGGAAAGACAGTGCCTTCCTTTGGTATGGTTATTTTCATCTTTCCTTGGATTAGAAAGAGTATCATAGTAAATGAATGAATGGTTGCTGTGGAGTTAATTATTAGTAAGACTTAATACATCATCCTGGTTTTAAAAGAATTGTTCACTGTCTTAAAAACAAAACAAAACAAAAAAAACAAAAACAAAACTCATACCAATCAGTCCTTTTCAAGTAAGAAAGATTTATTTTGGCTCATGAGTTCAGAATATTTACTAGGTCAGAAAGCAAAGAACAAAGTGCTGGTTCCCAGGTGGCCACTTCTTTATTTTCTTGTCTTCCCCCCTAGACTAGCCAGGGGCTAGGGCCACTCAGGGCAGATCTTCACCCCTCAGTTAACCTCTCCGAAACATCGTCACAGTCAGTCGTTGAGATGATTCTGAATTCTGCCGAAGTGACAGTGAATGAAGATGAACCATCACAAGTACACCCTTGTCGATTTGACAACCCAATGTATCACTATAACACTGCACACCTGGCCCAGTGTAAGGCTATGCCCATCTCCATAAATCCCTATAGTTTTAACAGTTCCAACATTGTTCAAAAGTCCAAGTCCAGAGTCTTCTTTGGAGGCTCAAGGCAACTCTTTCTGTGATGCCATTTGATTTTAGTTAAATTGGCCAGTTGACAAGAGATTTGGGAGCAGGCTGACCTTTTCAACATTCTTTAGAGCATCAGGCAGTTTGTATCCTTTTCTTAAAGGATGTAATGGAATGTTTTTAGTCTGATTTTCAAGCTCAGGAAATTTCTGCTGCCTCTGTAGATCAAGAACCTGAACCAAGCCACTTTCCCTTCTCAGATTGTGAGAATTGTAATAGGGAATCTGTAGAGTCAATGTGTTTTGAATTGTTCTGCTTACAAAGTAAGGTATAGCAGCTTGTAATAACAACAGGCTCTTCTGTATAGATTATGTTGCTCCTATTAAATGACCTTTCTCCCACAGGGGGAAAAAAAAAGGAAGAAAGGAAAAACTCCCCAAACCTCCCAGTAATCCCCTTATTGTGTGTGTGTGTGTGTGTGTATGTGTGGTGTAGGCAATTAAAAAGTGTTTGTCTTGAGGATGTTTTGTCATTTACAATTTGTAGCATGATGGCTTTTGTTTTACTGTTGGCAGTTAAATGCATGCTTTGTAGGATAATCATTGATGTTTGCTTTGTTATGTACTTGTGTGTATGCATATGTTTATATGCATACTCTGTGTGTGTGTGTGTGTGTGTGTGTGTGTGTGTGTGTGTGTGTGTGTGTGTATGTGGTTTAAAAATAAAAAGCATGCTGCTTGGCCTGACTAGCTAATGTGTACTTGCATCTGGTAAACAACCTTTTTCTTTCAAATTCTGACCATCATGGGATTGAGCTCTCTTTGCCCTGATGAGCAACTTTTAGAAATTATGGCTTCCTCCTTTCTTTCATCTTCTGAAAGGCATAACCCTGACCTTACAACACTGCTTGGAGAAACAAAGCAAAATATTAGGCAGCCAGCTTATTCTAGCTAAAGAAGGAAAAGACCCCTTGGTTCTTCTGGGTATGAAAAGGCTGGATTTGTCTCAAGGAACTAATAAGGACAGAGTAGACACTCTGGTTTTTCTTACAGCCAGCGGTCCCTGCAACCATTCTTCCATTCCAGACAGTTTCCCAGAGCAGCCTGCTTTTCTCTCAAAGGAAACTGGTTCAGCAGAAGAGTGGATAGTTAAAGACCAAGAACCCAAGAACCCAAACAAGGTTCCAAGTGAAGAGGACAGAAGTGCACTGGATCTTGGGCAGTCTAAGACAGAACACATTTGCACATATTCCTTGTCCCCATCTGAACTTTCAGGAGCCAGTGTCGAAAAAGATTCTCCTGAGTCACCATTTGAAGTAATTATTGACAAAGCAACTTTTGACAGAGAATTTAAAGATTTGTATAAGGAAAGCACAAATGACCTGGGTAGATGGGCAGCTCACAGTGATAGAGAATCCCCTGCAGACTTATTGGAAATGGATGACAAAGTGTTTCCCCTGAGAAATAAAGAGACAGGGCGTTACCCAGCTTCTGCGCTACTCAGTAGACAGTTTTCACACACTACAGCAGCACTGGAAGAGGTGTCTAGATGTGTGAATGATATGCATAACTTTACTAATGAAATATTGACTTGGGACTTAGTTCCCCAAACAAAACAACAGGCTGATAAATCATCTTGCACCACAAAAAGTACAGGACTAGACAGGAGTGAACATCACTCAGAGATTCCAGTTATAAATCTTAAAACAAATACTCATCAGAAAATGCCTGTATGTTCTCTTAATGGGAACACTCCAATCACCAAATCCACAGATGACTGGGCAGAAGCATCTTTCTCTCCAGAAAACATTTCCGGAAAACCTATAAAAGACTACCACCTCAGCTCCACAAAAGCCAGTGACAGAGGTATGTCAGGCAGTTCCCAGCCACTTCCAGAGCCACCTGGCTCTGTGCCTGAGAAATGGGTCTCAAGCTCTGGAGCAACCACAATGGAAGTATCTTTACCTAACCTGAGGGATGCCTGGCCTAACTGTGTGCTGGGAGAAGTCACAGAGGTTGATAGTTCTGGGGAGTCCGATGACACAGTCATAGAGGATGTAACAGCAGATCCCTCATTTGAGACCAACAAAGTTCTGCCAGAAAAACCTGACTCCCGTTCAGGTACTGCTGCAAAAACAAGTGCAAGGGATATCAAAGAAACTCCCAGTTGTGAAACTGTGAGGAGTGAAATGTGTGAAAATTCAGAAGAGCCAAGTAGTGCCTCTGAGCTGCATCAGGCCCAGCCAAAAACTCCTACTCATAGGAGTCTGGAAGGTGAGGTGTGTTCACAAGTACCTAATACTCTGAATGAAGTTGCACCTGAAAAGCCTGCTATGACTGACAACCCCCAAATTCCTTCAACAGCACCCCCAAGTGTTCTTAGTGAGACAGGATTCCCACTAACTGTGACAGCTTCTGCCAACTTGGAGTCTTTGCTTGGAAAATATGTTGAAGATACAGATGGTTCCTCCCCAGAGGACCTGCTGGCTGCCTTCATAGGAGCCAGGGAGAAAGGGCTCGAGGGTAAAGAGCATGGGAGCTTGGAAGCAGTGTTAGAGAAGACAGCAGACTTTAAAAATGCTTTCCCTGTGGAACTCTTGCATGAACATGAACTAGGTGGTTCTGAAACCAAATACAGTGAACATAGCAAAGAAACAAATGGAGGAGAGCTGAGTGTGCTCTCTTCTCAAGGTGCCCTCCTGGTGTCTCCTGACTTAGAGCAGGAGCAGCTCACCATCAGAGCCATTAAAGAATTAGGAGAAAGGCAGGCTGAGCAGGTGCAAGCTGAAGGAGCACCTCCTGGAGGAAAACTCAAGCAAGCCTTTGCTCTACAATCTTTGCCACAGAGGTCATCTGACATCCTAGAAAAAACAGATGTCGAGACTGCAGCTGATCTTGGGATTTCCAGAAAGCCATCTATCATCAAAGACACTAGAGTAGATCCTATTTCCAACCTTAGCAAGACTGAAACAGTTAACAAGCATGCCCTAGCAAGACTTCTGTCTGATTTCTCAGGTAACCATTTATACCAGAAATTCTGCATGTAGTTAATTCTGCTGTGATTGTCATTCTGCTTTATGCCTTGTACATAAAAGCAGCTTTCCCTGCATGTCCACACACACACACACACACACACACACACACACACAACACACACACACACACACACACACACAGTGATCACTTAGTTTGGTTTTTCTATACTTGTATTTCCCAAAGCCACAGACTACTTAGTAACACTAACCATTTGAGTTTTTAATGTCTCTATTCTGTGACAAGGTTCTTTCTTAATAGGTGTCCTGAGTGTGGCTGCTGCCTTTAAAAATAACACCACATTCTTCTTTATTTACTGTGTTTTATTTTGTGGTTTTGTTTTGAGACAGGGTTACCCACGCTGGCCTAGAGCTGACTACGTAGCCCAGGTTATTGAACTCCTTCAGTCCTCCTGCTTCAGCCTTTCAAGTGCTGGGATTACAGGCTCAGTCTGTTTCTTACTTATTTTCAAGGTTTAGTTTTTAAAAATATTCATAATGGTTAATATTGATGGGTACTTGGGTTTTTCCTTAATGGAACTTGTAAATTTTAATTAATTATCAAAGATAAAAGAATTCCTGCAGGGAAACTCAGTAAATGTAACTTTTAATTAATTTACTGTATTCCACAGAGGGTTTATGCTCTAAAAGTAGATGACTATTATTATAGTGCTCTTTTAGAATAATACTTAAGAGAAACTTGTTCATTCTTATATGTTAGACCTACTAAATAGTCTTCAGACAACAGAACATTTGACAGTACCAGAAACCTTTCTTTGCTACCTGTTTATTTGAAATGACCCCTTTTTTAGCAGTTGGCTTCCAGTAAAATAGTTTTAAATGCTGCTTGTCTCACAAAGAGTGTTAGTTACTTTTTATTGCTATGAGGAGACATCATAACCAAGGCAACTTACAAAAGAAAGTTATTTAAGAAGGGCTCACTTAATAGTTTCAGAAAGTATGAATCAGTGACTGTCGTGGTGAAGAGCACAGTGGCAAGCAGGCAGGCCTGGGTCTGGAGCAGTAGCTGATACGCAGTCAGGAAACAGAGCCAACCAGGGTGGCACGGGCTTTCGAAACTTCAAAGCCCACCCTCAGTGACACACCTATTAGTGCTTACCAAAACATTTCCACCAACTAGTGACCAAACATTCAAATATATAAGCCTGTGGGGTTATTCTCATTTAAACCACCACAGAAAGTTTTAAGGGGGAAAAAGGATATTTAAAGCTCTGCACACAGCCAACCTTGTGGTTCATGCGTGTAATCCTAGCACTCGGCATGCTGAAGCAGGAATATTGCCTTGAATTCAAGGTTAGCCTGAGCTACACATTAAGAAGCTATATCCAAAAACAAAGCCAAAGATAACAAAACAAAGCTGTCTGTAAAAATTGGCTCTGGACCTCATATCTGATACCCAAGCTTTTTACCTATACTGCATAGTATTAGGTGCTGTGTAGACCACCATAGTTTTTAAACTTTTGGTGCTTGATTCCTTGTTTTCAAATGAAGACATACTTAAAAGGTAGTATTTACAACAAAAGTTAATATTTTGGTCAGGCATGATGGTACACATATATAATCCTTAGACCTGGGAGGTGGAAGTAGGCCGTCATCCTTGGATGCATGAAACTGTCTTGGATGGGGGGTAGGCAGGGAGAAGGGGAGTTGTATTTAAAATAAACTTTTATGTCTAATTTACCTGTGAATGTATTTCCTTATTAAGGACCATAGGCAACCAGGCAGTGGTGGCACATGCTGTTAATCCCAGCACTCAAGAGGCAGAACCAGGCAGATCTCTGGATTCCAGAATAGCCAGGACAGTAGAAACCCTATCACAAAAAAAAAGAAAGAACCAGGGGCTGGAGAGATGGCTCAGTGGTTAAGAGCACAGGTTGCTCTTCCAGAGGACCCAGGTTCAATTCCTAGCATCCACATGGCAGCTCACAACAGTCTGTAAACTCCAGTTCCAGGGGATCCAACACCCTCACACAGACATATATGCAGGCAACCAAATAAAAACCTGTGTGTGTGCGCGTGCGCATGCGTGCGCACATGTGCGCACGCGAATCATTTTATGTGTATGGGTGCTTGCTTGTCTGCTTATATATTTGTGCACCGCATGCATGCCTGTTGCTCAAAGAGGCCAGAAGAGGACCCCTTGGTACTGGAGTAGCAAGATGGTTTTGAGCCACAGTGTGGGTGCTGGGAATCAAACCCAGGTCCTCTGAAAGAGCCACCAAGTGTTATCAACCTCTGAGCTTCTCTCTAGCCCCATAAGTTTGTATTTTTAGAAATTTACATATTTTAGGGTTTTTTTTTTCTCTCTTTCTATTCTTATTCTCTTTCTTGCTCACTGTGTGTGTGTGTGTGTGTGTGTGTGTGTGTGTGTGTGTGTATTTGACCTGGGCACACACATGTTTCAAGAGGGCAGCTTGAAACAACCAGTTTTTCACTCCATGCCAGGAATAAAACTAAAGTTGTCAGACTTGACAACAATCCTCTTTACCCACTAAACCATCTCATTAGCCCTATTTATTTAGTTAATTAGTTGGGGAGCAGAGATTGAATTCAAGGCCCCATGCCTTCCAGACAAGTACAGTGCCACTGAGCTACATCCCCACCCCCCAAATCTGTGAATTAAAGATAGCAGTTATACTCTAGAAATTGGAGAGTCTAATGGAGGAGTGTAGGGTTCTAACTGTTGTTTTTACTGTGAATAGAATGTAACTTTGAACAATTAATTCATAACTGTTTGGATGTTCAAGGGCTTGCCTGTAAATGAAAATGTTGAAGTGATTTACTGCTCTAATGATACATTGGTACCTTTTAGATTCTTCTGGGTTGTACTGGTTCTCATAGTTACTTTTGACTGATGAGGCGTACAGAAATTAGGCCATAAAGTCTCCTGTCTAATTTTGGCATTTTTAGACTTTAATGTGACCTTAGACAACAAGCCTAACTGGTTCAGCATTCTCCTTTAGTAATGAGGTGATGGTAATTATTTTGCTGTGTTTTATAGTATGTTACAAATTATAAGGAAAGAATCTTGTAAATAGTTAATTATTGGTAATTCCCAGAATGAGAGATGAAAAGGGCTGTGGAAGTTAAGGATATTTCTCACTGACCAAACTCTGTTATTGGTAAATATTTTTAGATAATAGTTAAGGCAGATTGACATAGTTAGAAGCTTAAAGGTTATCCTTTACAAATTTAAAAATTAAAAACCTTGTCAGTTATTTCGTTACCATATTTTTAAAGATGTAAACCATTTTGGTAAAATGCATCAACTTTTTGTTTTCACAAGGTTTACACATACATGACACCCATACACACGTACACATAATTACAAAGAAAATCTTTAAGGGTTTATTTATTTATGTACTTAATGTATATGAGTACTCCATCTTTGTGTACTTCTGTATGCCAGAAGAAGGAATGGGATCCCATTACAGATGGTTGTGAGCCACCATGTGATTCTTGGGACTTGAACTAAAACCTCTGGAAGAACAGTCAGTTCTCTTAACCACTGAGCCATCTCTTCGGCCCTAGAAATAAAATCTTTAGATTAAAAAAAAAAAAAATTTATAAGTCACATTTTTTTTAAATTATAGCCAGGTAGGCTTCTATTGGACCCAGTCTTTCTGCACATGAGTATACTTTGAACAATTTTTTTAAATTTATTTATTATGCTTACAATTATCCTAATGTGTGCTTGTACACCAGAAGAGGGCACCTGATCTCGTTATCAATGGTTGTGAGCCACCATGTGGTTGCTGGGAATTGAACTCAAGTCCTCTGGAAGGACAGCCAGTGGTGCTCTTAACCTCTGAGCCATCTCTCCAGCCCAAACAAATTTCTTTTTAATTAAAAGAAAAAGGCCTGAAGGCAATATAGAACATACAGAAACAAGCAGATTCTGAAAGGGTTAACACTTATAAGAAAGAATGGAATATATTTGAACAATTAAATTCAATCCATTCCTACTGCTTTTAACTAGAAAAACAAGAAGACTGAGAGAAGAATACTTAAGTCATTCTCAATGACTAGAAGTTAAAAGGGAAGAAGGATCTGGAAAAGAGAGATCCAGAGGATGAAAGTCTAAATTCTTTCTGTAAAGTAATCTCTGTGTCAGCTTCTTTCTAATCTCTGACTCCTGTGTGCATGAGCAAATCCAGGCAAACCAGCTAAAGACAAAGGAACTGAGTTGTGACTTGATCTTCTGCACCAGAGACAAGAGTTTTCAAACTGGGTTTAATGAAATGTAATAGCGTGCTTTAAAGCAATCCCCAAAGTGAATACTCTCCAGGCTTTGGTGGTTGTGAGCACTTGCTGCTATTGCTGAGGGCTCAAGTTTGGTTTCTTGCCTCCTTTGGCATCTTTGCTCACTTGATACACATATAGACAAGCAGACACACACATAAAATTTATGTGTTTATTTGTGTTAGGGGTATTGAGGCAGGGTCTGTCTATGTAGCCTGGCTGTTTTGGAGCTCTCTATGTCCTTGAAGTCTATCTTCCTCTGCCTTCTGGGTGCTGGGATTAAAGGTATCCAGCTAAAAAAAACTTTTTAATGTTAGAGGGCTATAACAGAATAAGTACACCAGCTGTAAAACATAATAGTTGTAGTGTCTAGAATGGAACCCAAACTAACTTTTTAAAAACCAGAAAAGTATAATCCAGTCTGGAAAATAGGGAATCTATATAAACTAAGTTCATATGTTAGAATTAAATCAAGGCCAGCCTGGTCTATATAGTAAGGTCCAGGAAGCCAGTTACATAGTGAGTCCCTGGAGAGAGAGAGAGGTTATTTAGAGCCACCAACAAAGTGAAGGGAAATGTTTGTGTTGAATAAAAATAAAGGAAATTTCAGCCTTCAAATACCCTATAGGAAACCCTAGAACATCTCCATTGTGAAAATCACTTTGTGACCTTAATAGCAAAATGGAGGTGATGGAAGAAGGAATCTGTGAATTTGATGAT